AAAGAGTTGATACATTCCAACAAGTATCAAATACAATACTTTGCAAGTTAATTTGAAAAATTGTGATTATAATATAGTATCGATATTATGAATTATTATCAACTGAGTTTCTGCTCATTGCAGATTACATTTGTTTTTTTTCTGTTTGACTTCATTCAACTCGAAAAGATAGTAGCCTTGCCAAAGACCATACAGTAGGAAATGAATTAGTAATACGGTACAATCTACAATGTTATTGAAGTGCAAGTTAACTCGAGAATTTAATTAGTGGCTTAATTGACTGTCAATATGATTCCAGTATAAACGCTTGTCTCAACATAGCACGCGTCTCGGGCGCTATTTAAGATCCGTCAACAGCATCCATGAAACAGATCTGTTTGTGTTTGTGGGCGATTCGGAGACATCCGCAGGCAGAAATGATCTCATGAGACAAACGATCACACACACGCGCATGCACGCACGCATACACACACACTTGAGAGTAAAAAACATTAATATAAGATCTGGAGACACGGTAGTGTATCAAAGCTAAGCCAGACGCAGCGACACTAACGTGCCCCCTTCACGCGAGCCAGTAAGTTGTGGCAGACTGAGACGATCAGATCTCGATAACGGCTCAACTGATCAAGTTTTATATACACTCAATCGATAGCAATTGCTCGGATTGAATAATAAAAATGCTTTTATTTTTTCTCTATGTACTTTACGAGCAGAGATATCGCGACGCAAAGTCCGAATTTGTGAATTTTTACGTTATATTTTAAGAAACATCGTTGTCGTCATCATCGTCGCCGATTACCCGAATAGGGGAAATGTTCTTTTAGAATTTTTGGCGCAAGAGATGATCAGGACCGGGATTCTCTAAACGTTTTATCGATGATTGTCGCTATCATTAACTAGCGACAGCCAATGAGAGCCACGCTTTCTTTTAGAATTATCCTGCCATTGGCTGTCGCTAGTTAACGATAGCGACAATCATCGATAAAACATTTAGGAAATCCCGGCCCAGATAGTCATCGAGCGCTGCGATCTGTACGATCGATAAGGTCGGTTTATTGATAACTTATCAGGTTAGGAAATCTGTCATATTGATGGCACAGAGGAACACGTAAGTGAGGTTACAATAAATGAATTTCTGCTTCAATTACACAATTCTCTGCTGTAAAACACATTTTATGCTGTAATACAAATTATTTTCTATTTTCTATATAATTTTACACCAGAGAATTTGTTTTGGTTAGGTATTTGTTTGCTTTGATTATTTATTTGTGTGGTAGTTATTTCAATTACAATATCATCTTATAAAATATCAAATAATTTATTATTTACTTTCCGTTTCTTTTGTAATAACAACTTTTAATGCAACATCCTTTCATAGGCAGGTTTATAAAAAGAATTTAAGAAAGTGTATACAATGTGTGTATGCAGCAGGGAATGGAAGTAACTCGTTACTTGTAACGAAGTTACAGTTACAAGTTACTTTTTTGGTAACTTTACTAGTAACTGCGTTACTTTCTTTTCTTGGTAACTGTAACGGTAACGAGTTACATTTTTTGGGTAACGGTAACGAAATTTACAGTTACTTTCGTCGTTACTTTGCACACGATTGAACACGGTTTGATTGGATACATGCTATTTATAGCGCTTATCAATAAGACTTGAAAGCCCTTAGACATTCGGCTGTCATGATTCAGTAATTATTTTACACTTCTATCTTCTATATAATACATAGGACATACAAATATTTCAGTTTGCTGCATATTTTACAGATTTTAGAATTACAAAATTGTGTTTAAAAGAAATTAAAAGATAAATTAAATAATAGTAAAATGAGAAGGGCTACGAACCCAAAAGCGAAACAGTTTAAAAGACGATGACAATAAGTGTCGAAATGTCGTTTGTTTTTATCTTGTTTTATCCATGTTATTGTTCTAATATATATTTATTCATTTAATTACATTGTCATCGTCGTTCTTATCGGAAATAAACTGTTTCATTTTTGGCTCGTAACCCTTCTCATTTTACTTTTATTTAATTTATTATTTGAGCCATTCTACATTGTTTTTTTTTTTTAATAAAACTATATATATATTTGTCAGTATTACATATAAAAAAAATGCAAAAGTACATTTTTAAATTGATTTTAAAAAAGTAACGGAAAAGTAACGAAAAGTTATTTTTCAAGTAACGGTAACTGTAACGAGTTACTTTTAAAAAGCGATAACTGTAACTGTAACTAGTTACATTTTTTACTCGGTAACGAGTAACTGTAACTAGTTACTTTTAAAAAGTAACTTTCCATTCCCTGGTATGCAGTAAGAAGTAAAGAGTCTCACATTTTGAATCTTCCCCATTTTACGCAATTATCTGACGTGATTGGTGGCTTGGTATCTCTTTGTCACAATTCTGGCTTGTGGAATATAAAAAATTTTTCTCTTCAATATCGTATCAAATAAGTTTATAGTCTCTATTTGTTTTCTCTATTCTTTATAATTATAAAAGAATTGATTCTTTGTGCTGTATTTTATTTTCAGATTTATTGAAAGGAAAGGTCTGAAAAGAAAAGGCAAGGATTTAAAAGATATATTCCAATCTGTCTGTATACCTTAATAACAACTTTTATTGCAACATCTTTTCATACGCAGGATTATAAAAAGAATTTTAGAAAGTGTATGCAATGTGCAGTAGGAAGTGCAGTCTCACATTTTGACTCTTCCCGATTTAACGCAACCATCTGACGTGATTTGTAGCCTCATATATCTCTTTATTATAATTCATGTTGAAATCACCAAGCATGCTTCTGGCTAGTGGAATTAAAAATATTTCTTTTCTTCACATCGTATCAGATAAGTTTTAAAATCTCTATTTATTCTGTCTATAATTATAATGAATTGTAACAAACAGATACCAAGCTACCAATTACGTTAAATATTTGCGTTAAATTGGGAAGATTCAAAATGTATGACTTCACTCCCTACTTACTTCCTACTGCATAGCATACACTTTCTTAAATTCCTTTTATAATCCTGCGTCCGAAAAGTTGTTGCAATAAAAGTTATTATAAAAGAAACGAAAATAAATAATAAATGATTTCATAAGATAATATTGAGATAACTATCAGATAAATAAATATCGTTAAAATGCAATGTGTACTAAAATCAAGTAATTTTATATTAGGAGTGATCTTAATTTTCTCATTGCGTTTACTTTGTGAGTTGCTTTATTTTCTGGTAAAATAGTTATCACAATTATTATTATTATTATTATTATTATAAAATATATATGTAAAATAATACTTAACTTTTCATTATAGAGAGGAATTTCTACCTGAATGTATCAAAAGCATACCCACCAAACATCAAGCAACAATTATTAAAATTTGTATAAAAGATTTGATATCAACAGTGAGCGCCAAGTTAAATTCTACCACTTGGGCCAGTTTCACCAACGTCAATTACTTAATCGGCTGTGGGACTGACCAATCACATTTGCTGTTTAGTAGGACTTTAAAAACCTACGTGGTATTATCCTTATCACTAACGTCAATTACCTAATCGGCTGAGGAACTGGCTAATAACATTTGCTGTTTAGTAGAACCAACTTAAATTCCATCCTCAAAAACCTAAGAGGTACTATCCTTATTAGTTACTTTATTTTTATGACATGTATCATTTGCATAAATAATTTCATATCCACAGTCAGCGCCAAGATAAATTCTATGTTCTTCCAAATTAAAAAGTAAAACCCATGTGGTACTATCTTTATCTTCATATATTGAGAGTACAGTTTAGTTCGGTCCGTTTTTTGTGTTCAAAAATGCATTTATTTCAAAACAAAATGAATTAACAGATTAATTAAAGTATTGTCCATCGCTGGTTACTACTTTTTACCATCTCTCAGGCAATTTTCGAATTCCATCTCGAAAAAATGACTCGTCTTTGGAGACGATCCAATTTTGGAGCCAATTTCCGATTTTTGCGAAAGAACCGGTGACTTGCCATATCGTGCTGCTTCCTTCGGAACAACCAGTAATAAGAAGAAGCAATGTCCGGAGAATACAGCGGGTGCAGTACAAAATCTCATTTAAGCGTTTCCAAATAATTTTTTACGACTTTTGCGACATGAGGCCGAGCGTTGTCATAAAGAAATATAACTTTATCATGTTTTTTGCACGTATTCAGGTCGTTTTTCTCGCAATGCATGGCTCAAACGAATCAATTGTAGCCGATACCGATCGCCCGTAATGGAATCGCCAGGTTTCAGCAGCTGATAGTAAACAACACCCTTTTGATCCCACCAGATACAGAGCATGATCTTCGAACCATGAATGTTTGGCTTTGGCGTTGATGTTGAGGTCGATGGCAATGATTGACCGGGCTTAGCGTAGTATTTTTTCTTCTTGGGGTTATCGTAGAATATCCACTTCTCATCTCCAGTCACAATCCGATGAAAAAAAAACTTTTTTTTATTGCCTTTAAATCAGCTACTCGCAAGTGAAAAATCGCCTTTCAACGTCTCTCGGTTTCAGTTCATAAGGCACCTAATTTCCTTGTTTTTGAATCATTCCCATGGCTCTCAATCGTACAGAAACGGCTTGTTGAGTTACTCTCAATGATTCTGCAAACTCCTTTTGCGTTTGACTCTGATCTTCTTCGAGTAATGCCTCTAATTCTTTGTCTTCTAATTTTTTTGGCTGTCCAGAGCGAGACTTGTCTTCAACGCTGAAATCTCCATCCTTGAAACGTCGAAACCATTCCCTATACATGATTTATCAGTTGGAGCAGTGTTACCATAAACTTCGACAAGTATTCGATGGGTTTCAGCTGCACTTTTCTTCTAATTAAAGCAGAAACTTAAAACCTCCGGCAAATGCTGCTTGGTTAACACAAAATTCGACATTTCAAACACAGTAAAGTCAAGGTTTGTAAACTCAAAGCGATATAAACTGAATTATTAGCAGAGGTCTGATCTCTCTGAAACCGCCAAAATCAGCTGTCACTATGAATCATTTACAACAGCCGGAGCCATCTTTTGGAAAACGAACCGAATTAATTTGTACTTCCAATACAATGAAACGTAAATATCTTCCTATTCCTATCCAAATGGTTTCGTTCTTCTTTAAAAAAATTATATCACAATTAATTCAAACACATTTATTCTTCTAACCAAAAGGCTATAGCAGAATAGGAATGGTAAAAGTGCCCTCTCCTAAAAAGTCGAGTTGACATAGACCATTCGAAAGGTAATCAAAAAATATGTCGATAGCTAAAATTTCAAGTCCTTAGACCCTTCTATAACGGTAGGAGGCCTAAAAACGTGTTTTTCTGATATTATTTTCTTCTGACGAGTCTTTACATCAGAGAGTCTTGTAAAAAATCATAGAGGTGGGGTTTTTACCTACAAATAACAACAATTTTTTGCAAGACATATAACCTCAAAATTGGGTCCGAAAAAAATTATTGAACTTTTCAATCAGTGTTTTTATATCCTGTTTTCGAAGGTACTAGATTTGAAATATGTTTTTTTTACGTATTTTTTTCCGGTCTTTACGATGACACTACTTATTTTCAAAAAAAATGGTGGCACACCCGAATTTTAGCTAAAAACTGTTAATTTTTGCGTTTTTTGTGTTTTTTATTGGATTATATTACATTTGGATGACTCAAAATAACATTTTTTTTCGTATTTTTTTACGCCCCATATAATGCTGAAGTCAGATATGTGACATTTTTGCTGCACACCTCAGCATATGCCAAAAACGGATTTTTTTTAAGGTTACGGAACGCTTTTATCAAGTTATACAGCCTAGCGGAAAGAAGGAAACAATGTTTTTAGTATTTTTTATGCTCCGACAATTTTTCAATCATATTTGTAATATTTTTAGCTGCGTGCCAACGGTATCTGCCAAAAACGGATCTATTTTGAAGTTATGTAATGTTTTTATTGAGTTATGTTACTGTTACAAGTTCAAAACGGTATGGAAAAAACGATTTTTTATTTGCTTCCCCAATTTTTATTGATAAATTAATATCACCATTCGATTCCTTTTATTTTTGTAAAAAACTTTTGTGAAAAACTATTAAAAAAGTATTAGAAGAAAAATGCGCTCTATTAGTTAAGCGCACAACTGCAAATGAAACGTGCGTGCTATGAGAATGCTTATTGATTAAGGGGATTCCAGTCGGCTCAGTCGATAAAGTAGTAATCTACGCTAAAAAACTTAAATTAAAAATGACTGAGTCGACTTTTCGAAATTCGGGCTCTGTACTAAAAATTGTAAGCAATATGTATATACATGTATGATTTCCTAAAAAATATGAAACACAGATTATTTACTTTGGAATTTTTGAAAAGGTCGTATACAGTGGTTAGAATTACTTTTGAATTGCTTTCAATTGCTTTTCAATTGCTTTCTTGAAGGTTGTAGCATATATTAATGTAAGTATCATGAAAACTTCACACTAAATAATCTGAATAACTTATCTCATGTAACTTGAAAAATTATTCGCGATATTTTTATTACAGAAAGCGGTTATATGTATTCCAATTCTTAAATGAATATTCTTGGTTATGACGTAAGTAGCGATAATTATTGTTAGTGTTATTATACCGCAAGTGACATAGATACATAACATCATAAAACATCTTTTTTACATCAGAATTCGTATAAGATATGGCATCTTCTAAAGAAAATTCCAAAGTAAATAATCTATGTTTCATATTTTTTAGGAAATCATACATGTATATACATATTGCTTACAATTTTTAGTACAGAGCCCGAATTTCGAAAAGTCGACTCAGTCATTTTTAATTTAAGTTTTTTAGCGTAGATTACTACTTTATCGACTGAGCCGACTGGAATCCCCTTAATCAATAAGCATTCTCATAGCACGCACGTTTCATTTGCTGTTGTGCGCTTAACTAATAGAGCGCATTTTTCTTCTAATACTTTTTTAATAGTTTTTCACAAAAGTTTTTTACAAAAATAAAAGGAATCGAATGGTGATATTAATTTATCAATAAAAATTGGGGAAGCAAATAAAAAATCGTTTTTTCCATACCGTTTTGAACTTGTAACAGTAACATAACTCAATAAAAACATTACATAACTTCAAAATAAATCCGTTTTTGGCAGATACCGTTGGCACGCAGCTAAAAATATTACAAATATGATTGAAAAATTGTCGGAGCATAAAAAATACTAAAAACATTGTTTCCTTCTTTCCGCTAGGTTGTATAACTTGATAAAAGCGTTCCGTAACCTTAAAAAAAATCCGTTTTTGGCATATGCTGAGGTGTGCAGCAAAAATGTCACATATCTGACTTCAGCATTATATGGGGCGTAAAAAAATACGAAAAAAAATGTTATTTTGAGTCATCCAAATGTAATATAATCCAATAAAAAACACAAAAAACGCAAAAATTAACAGTTTTTAGCTAAAATTCGGGTGTGCCACCATTTTTTTTGAAAATAAGTAGTGTCATCGTAAAGACCGGAAAAAAATACGTAAAAAAAACATATTTCAAATCTAGTACCTTCGAAAACAGGATATAAAAACACTGATTGAAAAGTTCAATAATTTTTTTCGGACCCAATTTTGAGGTTATATGTCTTGCAAAAAATTGTTGTTATTTGTAGGTAAAAACCCCACCTCTATGATTTTTTACAAGACTCTCTGATGTAAAGACTCGTTAGAAGAAAATAATATCAGGAAAACACGTTTTTAGGCCTCCTACCGTTATAGAAGGGTCTAGGGACTTGAAATTTTAGCTATCGACATATTTTTTTATTACCTTTCGAATGGTCTATGTCAACTCGACTTTTTAGGAGAAGGCACTTTTACCATTCTTATTCTGCTATAGCCTTTCATCACAAAAAATTAAAGAAGTAACACACCAAATGAAAAAAAATTATTTAAATAGAAAAATTTTTGGTAAAAATTTTGATTAGGTGACCCTCGCCCAATGACCTTGACCTTGACATATGTTGTCAAGGTCATGACCCTGAGTAACTTCCAACAGGTTTTAGCCGTCGCTTGTCCTTCGTTAAAAAGTTAATAATCATAGTTTTAAAATTAACATATGATATATAATACATGTAAGATATTAAGTACTATTCTACACCTTTTCCCTGTTCAGGAACGTTAAACTTTTCACGCGAGGTAACTTTCACCCCCCTTCCCCTCTTGCCAAGGGGCACACGACTTCCATGATTGTACTGTTGGGGGAGACCTCTATCGACGGGGCGGGTGCAGGAAGGGGGCGGGCCGTAAGTCCCGGTCAAGGTCAAGGTGATTGGGGGAGGGTCCCCTAATCGGACTTTTACCAAATTTTTTATGTAAAAACACTGGCACTGCTAGTTCTTAATGTCGATGTAATAACATCATATTAAAAATATGGATGTGACATTTAGAATAAAAATGGTAAGAAACATTCTCCCACAAGAGTGAAATTAAAGTATGTAATGCGTATGTAATGCATATGTATTTATGCGAGTGAGTTGTATTCGATCCCGATATAATAATGTCATAAAAAAAATATGAATATGGCATTTAGTACAAGAGATTAGAAATATTTCTACGAGAGTTAAAATATGCAGTGTGTATGTACAGGGTAATTCAAAATAACCTTTTGTCCTTAAACAGTCATATTTCTAGCGGTATTCTGAGACAATTTTTCCTTTGGTAAAAATTTATATCTATAAAATTTATAGAGGAAAAAATTGTCACCATTTACTTAAAACGGATTAAGATGTTTCATCGTGGGAGAAATCAGCAGATAGTCGTTACAGAATAATACATGAGTATACACGTTCAAACTTGTTTTACACGTTATCAACATGTTCTCTCTCTCTCCCCCCTCCCACCCTCCTCTCTCTCCCTCTCTTCCTCCCTCCTCTCTCTCCTCTCTCTCCCTCCCTCTTGCCTTTCTCTCCCTTCCTCTCCCTCTCCCTCTCTCTCTCGTTCGCATTCTTACAAACACAACACACATACACATACACACTTTAAGTGCGCTCAATAATTTTAACTAGAAAATAATATTTAAATAATCTGATAACTGCGTAAAATTTTACATTTTTTAAAGTAAAAGAAATTTGCGATTTGCAATTACTTACGTCGACTTCGCACTATTATTTTGTCTGACTTTACATTTGTATAAAAAATTCTTTAATAGTTAGTTTTTACTAAAACCATAAAAAACAAGATGACAAATGCTTTGATATTATTTTCAAGTTAAAGTTAGTATAATTAATGTAGATAACTGAGTGAATAAATAGATGCGTAAGAATGTGTGTGCGTGCGCGCGCGCGTATATGTGTGTGTGCGTGTGCGTGTACGAGATAGCAAAGAGAAAGAATTGGAATGTATACTCTAGGCGTGTGTGCTGTTAAGCCTGACAGGCTCCGTAAGTACCCGCATGCCTCAGTAGGCGGGCCGCCTCTGGTTACCTTCCTACTCGATTTATGATACGTTAATTATTTCTTTTTATAATTCAAAGACTAAGCTTCGGATGAATTTTTGCCAAAGGAAAAATCGTCTCAGAATACCACCAGCAATATGTCTCTTTAAGAACAAAAGGTTATTTTTATCACCTTGTATATTCTCGTATGATATACTATGTGAGTGAATTAGATAAAAAGAAATAAACAGCTGTATTTCTATTAAATATAACATTCAGAATATATTCCCGTGTAGTATATATGATACAAGTGAATTATATAAAAGGAAATAAACATTAACCTGCATTTTTATGAAATGTAACATTCAGAATGTGTTTACAATTATTTTGAAATTATCATTACTTTTTTACATATATTTTTATTAATTATTATACCTTTTAAATAGTTTTCATAGTTTTTCTTATTCGATCAAGCAGTTCCAAGTGCTTTTACATAAAAACTTTTTCTATTTAAACAAATTTTTTTCATACTGTTACTTCTTTAATTTTGTGTGGTGACATTTGAAATGAATAAAACAATGCAATTTTATGATATAGTAATATTTGGAAGAAAGATTAAATAACTAATTACTACAACTTTGGTTGGAAGAATAAATGTGTTTGAATTAATTATGTGT